AAAAAAAAAAATAGTAATTTTTTGGTTGGTTTCACTCAAATAAAAATGTACGTTGCAATAATTTATATAGTTAGGCTTCTTATCAGTTTATATTTTTTTTTTTTTGTTATTTTTTTTCTATGCTATAAACATAATGAAAATTAAATTCTATAATAATAAATAGTTGGCGCATTCTATGATAGGCATATGTTCACACAAATAAAAATATTATGATAAGCTTAACTAAATAAAACCTGATAGCATTTAAATTTCATTCGACTGCACAATATGTTGCGAAGCTTAGACTACCAGTTGACAAAAGATTATTTTTTTATGGCTTATTACCGAAGGTTTTTTTTTTGTTCCAAAAGATATTTACGTATTACTCAAAACCAACCGATCAAGAGTTCATACTTACTATTAAAAGTACTCTATTAACATGTAGAAACTTAATATTTGATGTATGTTTTAATTGTCTCGAAGCTTAAAAAAGAACGAAATTAGCAAAAATTTGCGTTGTTTTAAGTGGATTCTTCTTAGGAAATAAAATGTGCGATTGAAGGTCCGAAAAAAAAATACGGGTAGTATGTACTTGATCATGTATTTTCATCGTTGAGTTTGAACAAATATTTTCTGACTTTCTATTCTTGACATCAGATAGTAACTTTTAATGGGAATATCGAGAAAGAAAAAAAGAACTACTTAAATGTTGTACTTTGTCTCGGATTAAATAACCTAAGTCAATCTTTAGATAAGATAGTAATCATGATTGTTGCTTAAAGAGAATTAATTCTATTTTTACTAACGAATAAGACAAATAAAAAAAATGTATGTTGACAATTTTCAATAAAAATTTCAAATGATAGAAAATATATGAAACGAAAATCGTCTCTAAAAACTAATGAAATCAGGAAAAAATGTAATCAGATATACATGCAAATAAAAAATGTGAGATACTGTAGAAATCTTATAGTAAAAGTCAGTATCTGATGGAAATCATATCTTGCATCTATTTCTTCTTAGGATATTTTTAGTCTATACATTCTCTATTTATCAAAATTATTTGAAATGAAGATATTTTTATCATTTGTGAAGGTTGCTTTGTAAGATAAATTCATTTGAACGATTCTATTTGAAGAAATACATACTCAATTGTATTCATCGAACATTAAACGACAATTTGAAGGAAGCTGTACGCTCAATGTGTAGCTGTTCTTACCAATCATCGGAAGATTATTTTATTCTATCTATTTTTCGACATATTTCTTCACTATTCTCTTACTGAATTCTCCCCAGATACAACAAGGAAATTGCTCATTTTTTATAACAAGACATTATTGATGCACGATCTATGATAAGAGAAGACCCAGGCAGACAACAAAACGGCGTTTAAACGTCTCAACTGTTTAAACAGTGTCATTAGTCGGCAAAAACGCGTTAAAACGGTTTATGAAAAATTAACTTTTAACACGTTTTACATGTTTAAACGCTTGGAGTCATTGAATTTGTAACTGTTTTAACGCGTTTTTGGCGACTAATGACACTGTTTAAACAGTTGAAATAATTTGCGATGTCATGCCTCTTAATGATCAACAAATGTTTCATCTAAACAATAAAATATCAATAATTTATAATTAAATTTTCTTCTCATTGATAAACTGATCGACTATATTCAAATTATCGTTAGATTAATGTCAATGTAACATTAATCTAACGATAATTTGAATATAATCGATCAGTTTATCAACGAGAAGAAAACTGAATTATTTCCATTCATGTTTCAAATAAGTGACGGATAAGATAGACTGATGAATAGATTTAAAATAGTACGACTAACACAGGAATTGATGAAAAGGCAAAGCACGGACTATCTAACCAGCTTCTAATATAAAGAAAACTACAATCGGAACTACTATGGTAGACAGATGTTCTTTTCAAGTATCATTAATAAATTTAACTTCCTTTCGATCAAATTCTAAAGTATCAAAGTTCAGAGATATGATATAACTAGAAATGTCATCAATGCACTACGAAATCTCATAATTATAGTTTGTATTAAGTCGGTCATGAAATCGATTAAGCCACACCTATGCACCAGAATGCTATCTGTTTTTTCCTGTAGTGACGATATTTCTTTTAAAGCTCATTCATATTTCGATGACTTAAGATTCCCTTTTCATCAAGTAGAAAACTCAACTGTTTCAAACGTCTCATATGTCACACGTACTCGTGATGAACATCCTATATGAAGCATTTCAAGTGAGGAATATTTAATGGATCCTGCTATGTTTATCGTCTGCGAGCGACTCTTCTAGTTGTATTGTCATCAGTATCGTATATGTTATGTCTAAGTCAACACTAACCTAGTGAATATTGAAGTATTTTTCACAGAAACTCACTATTAATAGCAATGTAGTAAGTGCCCTATTCTTTCTCTCATTCTGAGTAATTTCCGCAGAAAAGAACTTATCTAATTCGAACATATCCAGTCTTACACAAAAGAAGCATGTGCCATTACATATAGTGAATTTAACATTATTTTTAAGTATACGTTAGAAATAAAATGGCCTACTCAGTTAGGCAAGTACTCAGTGAACGAAACAGAACACAAATGAATTCCAAATGAAAAGAACAGGCAGCAAATCAAAGATAAACTTTGTTACATTCTCATCAGATATTAACACCGAACAATATTTGTCTTAACGATTTTCAATTAAGAGTGGAATATTGCTGAGTAGATATACTAACAATACATCAATAAAGAATATGTAAACTCACTAGGCGGAGTATTTTCAGTAAGATCGTTATACTGCTATCGATTTTGACTTCGATTTAATGGCAATAAAAAAGTTTTCTTGGTTTAAAATTCCTATTCACTAATCATAAATATCGGACCTGATCTTTTGCTGTTTATTAGTAAAAGATACATATTCTAACCATCAGTTGCCTGTTACTAATAACAACGAGCCGTAAAACTTACTACTTACTAGAAAGTAACCAGACTGATTACTCACTATGTTGTGTTACGTGATTTAGATACATTCAACCAGGTATAACTGTCACAGAACAGTTAAATTAAAAATTTACTACTCCTTAGTAACAGATTAGCAGCGCAGACTATCACCTACTAACAACTAGTTAGTGACGACGTACATTACTTACTGACAGCATAATAATAAAATTTTTGTAGCTTTGATTTTTTTTTTTGGTAATCGAAGCAAAACGGAAAAATACCGTTAAAACGTCTTTTTTTCGAAAAAAAACGCGAAATTGGGGCGTTTTTAACGGTTTTGTCAAATTTAGTTGAAAATAAACTGTAAAAACGATTTAAAAATGAAAAATTCAGTAGTAAACGCGTTTAAACGAGTTAAAACGGTGTAAACGCGTTAAAACGCCTTTCTAGCCGTTTATTGTCTGCCTGGGCAATACTTCGAGTCGGATATCTGAGTCAGCCTCAGAACACTACCTGCAGCATTAACACAAGTACTCACTTCTCATACAGATGCATTCAGTTAGAGATTATTCTTTGTCTTTAATTAAACTAATTTTTCTTGAGAGTGTAGAATTTATGAAACACCCTATACTCAAACCAGAAATATATTTCAATGATTATGTCAATTTCTTTTCAAACAGTAATAATCACTGTTGATTTGTATGATAAGTTTGTTTTTTTTTATATTACTAATATTTAATTAATTTACAATTCGAATTGATGTTTAATCGCAAAAAACAACTGAATTTATTTTAATTAGACAAGTAATTTATTTCATTATTAATATAATGATACAGATTGATTTTTGAAAAATTTTCATTAACAAAAATGATAAAATTTAAGAGATTTACAATAAAATATTTAGTTTCCTATTATGTAAATATATCATCATCAACTACTTTTAAACTAATTATATATAATAAAATAACAAAACTATTATTGATATAAAAAATATTTATCCTTAAATTCATTTAATATTTAAATAGAATTTTCTCGATATGATTCAATTAATTCATTATTTCTTCTTCTTCTTTGAAAACAATCAATATCAAATATATAGTTTTAATTACTAAAATCATGACATTGTTGTAATATACGATGTCGATTTAGTTCATCATTAATTAAATCAAAATAATTATTATCAATAGTAACATTTTTTAAACAACCACGATATGATCGACAATGTTGTTCATCATAACTACATAATCGATGATAACCACCAATATAAATATAGGATGGATTTGGATGAAATTCTGTTTGTGTACTTAATGATACTGTTTGATAACGATGATTATCAT